GAATTTGGAAATTTTCATGGTGGAGAAGTTGACTTAGTAAAACATTCCATGATTTATTTAATTTAATTTGTTGAGTGGTACAGCTTAACCACGTCTTTATATGTATATATAAATTGAATGTATGCAAATAGTACACTATTTTATTTATCATGAAATGATGAATAAAATTTAAAATAAAGAAAAAATACAAAAGAAACAAGGGGTAATTGAAAGGCAACCCTGAACGGCATAGGTGCTAGTCTATAAACGAGCTGAGCTGAGCTAGAACTTAGGATGCGCGAGCCGAGCTCGGTCTGTTGAATAAACGAGTCAAAAGTCGAGCTCGAGCTCGGCTCGTTTATCAATCACTATTAATGAGTCGAGTTTGAGTCTTGAAGAGCCGAACTATAAAAAAAAATATATAAAATCGATCTTGACTCGTTAAAATCTCGAGCTAGAGTTGAACTAGAGCCGAATCGAGCTAAACTTGTTCGATTTAACAGCACTAATCAGTGCCAAGAGTGACGGCCAGGAACTTGCTGCTTTTTTTTTTTTTTCGATCAATATAAATAATTAAATATTAATTCGATTATAGTTTGTGGCAAGTTTTTGTAGGTAGTGTCAATTTTATGTTTCATTTCTGATGTTTAGAAATGAATAATTTAATATTAATTTGGCATATTTATACTGACAAACACTCAAGTGATGAAATTTTGTAAATTGGCATTATATCCTACTCACATAAATAATCAATTTTTCACATAAATAATCAATTTGATTTCACATGCAAATAAAGTTACCAATTACACAAAAATGCAAAACAAAATGAAGCCACCAAAGAGACAGAGTAGTATAGAAAACGAGCAAATTCATGGAAATGCAGATAACAAATTTTATTTTATTTTTTTTTATTTTTAGATTCTTCAAACAAGACAAAAATTTTGTTTCATCAGAAATGACAACCACCGCCACATCCCCCGCCGCCGCCTCCACCACCGCCGCACCCGCCGCCACAACGAGGGCCACAGCCCCCGCCGCCGCCCCGAGTGCACGCCGCCCCGCAACCGCCGGCACTGGCCGTGGGGCCCGCCGAGGCCGCCGTCGTGGAGCCACCGGCTCCCCGGAGCACGACCATGTCCCCGTCTTTCTTCTCGCCGGCCGTCGGACGAACCTCCCCGATTTCCACGTCACCGTCTCGAGGCGCCGGAGGATTCCCTGCCGGAGGCCCATTGACGATCTTCTTCGCCTGCGGCGGCTGCGGAGCTCTTGCCACCTCCCACCGCCGGCGGCTGCGACGGTTACGGAAGCGGATTTCGCACCAGATCAAGATGGCGAGTACGGCCGCGGCGCAGCCGCAAACGATGAGTGCGATTACATATTTTTTCATCTTTCTCAACTATTTGAGGTTTTTCAAGTTGATGCTACAAAAGATTGATGTTGTAATTAAAGCAAAATGCCAGCTGACTTTATGCAGAGGAGTTGATTTTCAGCTAAAGTTGACTTGATCAACTTAAATGAAATTTGAGAAGCGAACAGGAAATTTCACAAAAATTATTACTAATACAACACCCGTTTAAACACTGGTACTTGTTAAAAAATTATTCCAAAATTTTAAAATTAATTAGAAAAATAAAATTAAAATTATTACTAGTACAACACCCGTTTAAACACTGGTATGTGTTAAAAAATTATTCCAAAATTTTAAAATTAATGAGAAAAATTATTTTAAATTTTATTTACTTTTTTACGAAAAATATATAATATTATATAGTTTAGAATGACATTTTACGAAAAATATATTATTACTTTCCAAATTATTATATATCATAAATAATTAAAATATTTATGGGTAATTCGAAAAGAATTAAAGGAAGAAAATCAAAATTTAGGGATATATTAGTCACTTAGTGCGCATTATGTAAAATTACAAAGAATTAAAGGGTTATATTATTACAAGTGATATTAGAATACCTAAGTTAGCTAAATAATATTTATGGAATGTCCGAACCTAGATTATTAATTATTAATATATCAATATTATTTGTCCAAACCTAATTACGAAGCATGATTCTTCGCCAAGTAGGATTCTAAAACACTAAAAATAACCACGTGGGCCTAGCGTATTTGAGAATTATATATAGAGAGGATTATTATTATTATTATTATTATTATTATTATTATTATTATTAAATATATATACAATGAGAAGAAGTATTTACTAAAAATACTAGCAAACAAAATTTGAAATCATTTAATGCATACATTTTTTGGATTATTTTTACACATATGCATTAATTGTTTGCATACACACGAATTGTACGTAGCATGTGCGGGACTGAGATAGTAAATGAGTTTTTTTTACATGCTTAGTCCGTTTAAGTCTAAAAAGCAATATGATTATCATCTATTTTCCACATCTTTTAATCATCGCTTAAATTTAAAAAACTATATACTTATAATCTATTTTTCAATTCTTTTAATATACGTTTCTTTTTTAGTCAGAACATTAAATAAAATATACAAATTTATGATGCAAACTATAAAATCACTTGACTATTAAAGAAACTTTTAGTTTCTGACAATTGTTAAATCAAAGATGATTAATTATTATAAAAAAAACATGCGTGTATATTTTAGAAAATATTTGTACATAATGTTTTATTTTAAACTTATTTACATAATTTAAATTAAATACATTAATATATAATATTAATTTATAGTAAATATTTTCATTACATAAAATAAAAAGAAGAGTAAGAATACTTCTATGACTTATACAAGTAATAATAATAACATTATATGGCAACGAATTTTATGATATAATAAAATTGAATTTTATACGTGGAAAGAGAATACGTATTTTTTTTTATCAAGGAATAAACATATATACTAGAATCAAATTTATATGAGTATAAATGTGTTTGCGGGATAATTTGTTAATCAACTAGTATGAGTCCCGTGCAGTGCACGGGTAAGAGATATTCATTAATATTTATAAATTAAAAATTCTTATTCATTAATATTTATAAATTAAAAATATGGAATCAATATGTAATACAATTTACCTATATTGATTTATTGAAAATGTTATATAAAGTTTAAATTGTGCAAAATTTTATAAAAATATCTATTTAAAATTAGTACACAACTCGAGTGGTGCATATAACTGATAATATATTACATTATGTTCGTTTCAAAATAAGTGTCATTTCAAATTTTTTATTCATAAATTTGATTTCACTATAATGTGATTCCACAAAATAGTTATTTTGGTAAAATTTTAACATATATTTAACAACCTATGTGAATAATAATTATAAATATAACATTTATGTTGTTTCATTATTTATAATAATTTATTTTTGTATAAAAATTTCAAATAAAATAATTAAGTAGTTGGGTAACTTAACTAATTATAAATAGTTGACCATTTCATTTACGTCCAAGTTAATATTGACCCGTAAGATATTGAGTAATTTATTAAACTATAAAAAATTGATTATTTATTGACCCGTAAGTTATGAATAATTATTTTTTTTATTTTTAATTTTTAATAAAAATATTTTTATTTTTATTTTTTAATATATTATATACCATATTTAAACAATGCAACTAATAAAGACAATAGCTGCAAGTTTTGTCAATATATTATATTCCAAATTTAAATCATGCAACTAATAAAGGTAATAGCTGCAATATCTGACCAAAATGATTATGTATATTAATTACAACAATTTAGTCGAGATTTTTCAAATTTTGGAAAAAAAAAATTTATCCAATTTAATAAATCTAAGTTTTTAGGCGAGAAACCAATTATTTTAGTATTGATTTCTAGTTACTATTTCAAGTAAATATCATTGTTTCTTTGTATATTTATAGATTTACGGGACAACGCTAACAGACAGGTTTAACGTTCCGACAAAAAAATATCACTGATGAAAAGATTTGGGTAAGTTATTATTGTTTGATTAGTTTTAATGTAGGTGCTTGGTATTGACTGTGTATGTGACTTTTGTGGGTGCCTCACGGACACTTGAAATTTGAAAATGTGGATACATAGAAATGTTTGGTTTCGATAAATCACGAAAGCCGCTTGAATGTATGTATAATTACATAAAAATCCCTCAATAAACATTTTTTTAATTGAAATTCTGTATCTGGACTCGAGCAAAATTCGAACTGATCTTGAGTGTTTGTGATTCGTTGTCGAGTCAAAGCCGAACCTCGAGCAAGATAGGCCTATCGAGCAAGTATCAAAAGAATCGAGCGCCAATGATCAACTCGTCTCGTATGCTAAACCTACCTATCAAACTTAATTTTTTTTATATAGTTAGAGAGCCTGAAGTAAAGGCTACTTTTTAACTTTGCTATCACGTTACATTTTCGTTTTTACCTTTTCCTCTTCCCATTCCCGCCACCGACGAATCACACGAACACATATATACCCATAGATGTGTGTTAATTTGATGGCGATCAACCACATGTGAGCAAGTATATAGACTCACACATACTTATATGGATGTAAGTTGATCCGACGGTGATCCTCCTTATGTGAATGCTACAAATAGTTTTGATCAGTCAATTACTTTACTTCTCTAGTTAACCACAAGAAACTGTAACAACATTAGCCACAAGTAGATAACAATGTCCATACAAATCCAATTTCAAATGGAATAACATGAAATTTTATATCCCCATACAGAAATTTTCATTCTTCTTCCCTCAAAAACATGAAGTTTTGCTCTTCCAAAAAACCCCCCAAACCATTCTCTGTAAAATAGATAATCTCCATCACCTTCATTTCACATATTCACCACAAACACTATCTAAAGAGTAAATTTCAATGCAATCAATGACAGCCTACTTAGCATCCAGGTCAAGTTACACAAAACTTAGAAGCCTTCATTCATATTCATAAATAAAAACTCAAAACCCCCAAATATCCACAACTACAAATAGATGCAAACACATCAGTCAATCAATCCTCACAAAATCTACTCTCAGAGCCCTGATACAGCAAAATGACTCAAGTTCCAAACTCCCTCAACTATCCATATTTTCCTCCGTTGTCACCTTATCCTTTTCCCGGCCCGCCATTCTTTCCACCACCCCAAAATCCTCCACCGTCGCCACATGTGCCGCCACCTCCTCCGGTGAAACCGCCTTTTTCTCCTCCTCCGCCGCCACACATTTCTCCACCACCGCCACCACATTTGCCGCCACCTCCTCCACCACACGTGCCGCCACCTCCTCCGGTGAAACCGCCTTTTCCCCCTCCTCCGCCGCCACACAATTCTCCACCACCGCCACCACATTTGCTGCCACCTCCTCCACCACATTTGCCGCCACCTCCTCCACCACACATGCTGCCACCTCCTCCGGCGAAACCTCCGAGTTCGCCTCCTCTGCCTCCATCCCCTCCGGGAAACCACCCGACAGTTATCATTGTTGTGTTCGTCTCGCTCGGAGGGCTATTCTTCCTCGCGTTCCTTGCGGCCGCACTTTTATGCTATGTCAAGAAGAGGAAGAAGAAGATCGTCGAGGAGGACGATAAGTTCAAAATAGATGAGCACGTGAAAGTACAAGAAAATGTTGTCCCTGGTCCAAACGGGACACAGATGGTCGTCAGGACAATCGACGAGGATGTGCACATCGAGGAGGAAATCAAGAAGAAGGGTGAGGTGAGTGAAAGGAGCTCGCATTTGAAATCGGGATTCGTCGATTCCACATCCGATCCTCACCACCACCACCACAATCATCATGGTCGTGATTACTTGGAGTAATGTGCAATTACAGACTTACAGTCAGACAAAAAAAAAATGTGAATGTTTGTTATAATTTCCTTTCCGGGTTCGATTTGTAAAGAATGAATAATGTATTGTTTTATTTGATTATTCGAAGTGTTCGAAACATAATGGATGATTTGTAAGAACCAGACACGTATTACGTTATTGGAAAACATCGTTCTCTTGATTCAAAATCGATCGGGAGGCAGAATCTCTTTTTTCACAAGTATGGATTTTTTGAAGTGTAAAAATAAAACATAATGGATGATTTGTAAGAACCATACACATATTACATTACTGAAAAACAACATTTTCTTGATTCAAAATCGACCAGGAGCTAGAATGTCTTTTCGGAAAGTATGGAAACAGAACTCGGCCGATTATTTCTCGCCCAATTCAAATTGACCAAACAATCCCAGAAACAAGAATATTTGCCAGCTGCATAAACCATGAAAACGATGAAAACACAACAATGGTGGGGGAAAAAGGGAATCAGCTGCAAAGAGACATTAAAATCAGGGGATTATTAGCATTTAACAATATCTTAGAATCTCGGCACAAGCACAAAGGAAATTTTGGCAGCACCAGGAGAAAAATTCCAAGACATTAGCTGCTGTAAAACACCCATCATCAGTACCTGCTACAGCTCATCATATCCCTAAACCCATCAATTACCTCAAATGTTTTTGAGAAAAAATATGAATTAAAAACACAAAAATTCAAGAGATTTAAAAACAATGACAACCCATGATCAGAAAAGCTGAAAACATACATGAGGGCAGTCGAATGGGCAACAATCTGCCACAATATCCCTCTTGCCCCAAACTATGGAGAAATTAAGACTTTAGAGGGGAGTGGAAGTTGATCCATTAGTGCCGGCGTTTTTTGAGCATCGATTAAGTTTCAGATACTAATTTAAGAAAAACCGAAATCTTTATAGAACCTGGATTGTGAAGAAATACAGAATAAACCCATTTGAGCATTCGGAGCTCCATGGACGGCGGGGAGGAGAAGGTTAGAGGATGAAACTGAAATTCGCCGCCCGTGGCATCCCAACTCGATGTCTTTGTCTAGTTTCCTTTTGTTTTGATTAGTGGGCTTGGTGTGAACTTGGGTTGGGCCTAGAATAGGGTTTGCCTGTACTGTAATCCACTTTGGTTATGTGGATATATAGTCTTTATAGACCAAATGCTAGTTGGGCTAGCCTGCTACACTGTCTGATAGTGGTTTGTATATGACGTAGAGCCCAACCGCTCAAAAACTCACCCTATTTATGGGAGATTCTAGAGTTCACTACGGAACCATTCCGTCGGGGTCATAATCGTTAGATCAATTATCCACGACAATTACATGATAATCTAACGGTTACGAATCCGACGAAATAATTCCGTAACGTAGCATTTTCCTGCAAAATCAAAATATCACACCCACTTTATTAAAATTGATTTTTTTCCCCAAAAAAATTACGTCCGCGGAAATAATAGGAATTTTGGTCTGTAAATTGAGTGAGAGTTTGTGGATAATCTGACGTGGCAGCATTTACGCCATTGAAGAATAAACCGAAAAGAACCACAGTAGTCAGTACCAACTCAAAGCAGTATAAAATAACAGAAAAAGGCATCAGCGAATAACCGTGAAAAAATGGCTGCTCTTGACCTCTTCAAGCTCTCGTTCCTCGTCAGCGCCCTTTTCTCCGGCTCCGACCTGGCGGGATCTCCGCCGGAAAAGAATGCCGCCGGTGTCCGGGTTTTCCCGCCGACTTGTAGCCGCATCGAGTGCCCGAGCTACGACGTCATTAACACCAGCGACGGGTTCGAAATCCGGCGGTACGATTCCAGCATGTGGGTTTCCACACAGCCCATTGAAGACGTTTCCTTGGTCAAAGCCGGAAGTATTGGCTTCCTGCAGTAAGAACCCATTTTCCCTCTTCTCGTCGTTTTCTTAATTTCTGGTTCTTTTGATGCTTTAATTAATTACAGTCATTTATGGGTTTCTGGTTCTTTTGTGTTAGTTATGTTAAATGGTTTCTTGTACAATAAGTTAGGTTTAGGCCTTCTATGTATCTATATATATATGTGTATATGTCTTTGTGAATAATATAGAACATATTTTTCCCACTTTCTTACATGGTATCAGACTAGGTTAGGGTCCAATATAAGTTTCGTGTTTTCTCGT